TTTTTTTCACCCAAAATCCCAAATTTTCCCCCAAAATTGTGTCTGGGGTGGGCGTGGCCACCTGACCCCACTCCTCCTTAAGCCCCGCCCCCTTTACCCCTTGACCACGCCCCCAAAAGCCTTTTTTCAGCCTAAAATCCCCTTTTTTGCCTGAAAATCCTTTTTTTTCACCCAAAATCCCCAATTTTCCCCAAAAATTGTGCCTGGGTGGGCGTGGCCACCTGACCCCCACCCAGACAGAAGCCACGCCCCCTTTACTCCTTGACCACGCCCCAAATCTCTTTAACCAATCCCCATTTCCCACCCTAAAATTCACTTTTTTTGCCCAAAAATCCTATTTTTTCTCCAAAAATTGTGCCGGGGTGGGCGTGGCCACCTGACCCCACCCCCTCCTTAAGCACCGCCCCCTTTACCCCTTGACCACGCCCCCAAACTCAATTTCCCAGCCGAAAATCCACTTTTTTCCCACAAAAATCCCCTTTTTTCACCCAAAATCCCAAATTTTCACCCAAAATTGTGTCGGGTGGGCGTGGCCACCTGACCCCACCCCTTATTAAGCCCCGCCCCCTTTAACCCTTGACCACGCCCCCAAAAGCCATTTTTTTCAGCCTAAAATCCCCTTTTTTTCCCAAAAATCTCGTTTTTTCACCCAAAATTCCCAATTTTCCCCCCAAATTGTGCCTGGGTGGGCGTGGCCAGCTGACCCCACTCCTGCTTAAGCCCCGCCCCCTTCGGCTTTGACCACGCCCTTTTCTCCCAAAGCCTCATTTTCCCAAAAAATTGTTTTTTTCCCCTAAAATTTTCTATTTTTTTCCCCAAAATTCCCTTTTTTTTCTTCTAAATTCCAGGTTTTTGCCCTGAAATCCTTTTTTTTTTCTGTCAAAACCCAAAATTTTTATTTTTTTCATTAAGGTGTTTTTTTTTCTACAAATCTTTATTTGTATTCTTTAAAGTCTTAATTTTTCTTTCAAATTTTTTATTTTTCTTAATTTTTTTCCAAAATTTCTTATTTCCCTCAAAATTTTTATTTTCTTTGCCAAAAATCCCCGTTTTTTTTCCTAAAACACTTTTTTCCCCAAAATCCTTCTTTTTGCTAAAATCTCCTTTTTTT